TCTTCTATTTTGGCAATAACTACCTTATGAAAGTGATGTCTACATAAAAACACCGATAAACCAACTATGATTTAGTTAGTTAGTTAAAGTAGAGGGAGGAATGTCAATTGGCTACTAAAACCGTGTTGAATCTACAATTCCTCGTATTAATGTATAGAAAAAGGTCAAACTAGTACCAGTCAAAAGCATTTATAAAGTCAAGAGTCTGGCCAATGATAATACTAAACACATCGCTTAGTGTGTTAAAGAAGGAAGCCCCCAGAAACATAAGCCTAGTTCTGGTCAGGCCTGGAAATAGACACAACAGATATTCTGGCGTCCTTTCTTCAAGAGTTAAGAAGGAAGCCCCCAAAAACGTAAGCCTAGTTCTGGTCAGGCCTGGAAATAGACACAACAGATGTTCTGGCGTCCTTTCTTCAAGAGTTAATAGACATGCGTTGTAATAGATACCACAGGGTAGGCTGAGTCTAACTCCATGCGATCTTATGGTTCAGTGCCCTTTGAAGACAAATATTAACATAAATAACTTTGGTTTGCTTATGTGTATTAGGTCAGAGGTTCTGTATTTGGAGTAGATTGGCTATGCACCCCTTGACCTGATTGTTGAGGTAGTATGAGTATTTTTTTAATTATATTGCACTCCTCACATATTAAACTACAACAGAAGTCTTTCGTCGTCTTAGTTTTTGGTTCTTTACGTCGAATATTCCCAAACTGATACCTCTTTCTTAAATCACAATTTATGATGAAAAAAAATGAGCAAAGATATTCGATAATTTGTTTAAAAAAGAAAGAGGCAATAAATATTTAACGGCTAACGAAATAGTCAACGTAAAGTAAGGAATTGAAGTTCGGACGTATAAATATAATAAAAAATTTAACAGCAGACGGGATCGACTGTTATCAGAAATGTTTAAATTATTCTAAATTAAAGAATTTAAATTGAGACTTTTGACACGTAAAAAGTAAATTGCCAATCCTATATATGTTGAGTGCGTACTCACTGATCAACTTTGGTCACGACTGCATTATTATTACCTTCTGTCCTTTCTTTTATTACAGAGATTGTTTCTTTTTAATTTCTACTGAAAGTTTGGAATAAGATTTTAATTATTAACGATAGGAAACGAATAAAATATATTTTTTTAAAAAACTTTAAGTTACCTAAAAGAAATTGTATTGATCTATATAAGTCCATGTATACAGAATTATCTTTCGGTTCAGATATTTTAACAATTTCTTCTAATTATATTGTGAATAAGTGGTTACTCTAATAAATATAGATTGTAATAAATATTGTATTCACACATGAATTATGTCTTTTTATTTTATTTTTTAGGACCCATTTATACCTACTTATGTTTGTATTGCTTATATACATTGTGTGAAAATTAAATTATTATTTCTTTGCATTTGTTCCAACTCACTTTCTAGAAAAACTCATTTATCATGAGTTTATATTGTAATTATTTATATTGTAATTATAGTTATATATAATAATAACTGTTAATTTTTTGTATCTGCTCTAACCGACTTTAGCCTGATTAAGACAGCTTATTACATATTTATTTCTTTATTTCCTTATTGCTGTACTTATACCTTCTCTATACCTTCCTCTTCAGAATATTTAAAATTTCTTCCATTGTTTCCACTGTTTCCACTGTTTTTTATCTCAATTTATTAATATATTCAATGCAGCTTTATTATCATAAAAAATATGGATACTGTCCTCTACATATCGTTCATGTGTTTGTTACTGGCTTAGTATCGCAAGTAGTTAAGCGTTTAAATAAATCCTTCAAAAATTGGTTTTCAGTAAATAAAAGAAGTAACTAATTCTTTTTTACAATAATACAGAAAAAATTTACTTTTATTTTCCATTTTTTTTAGAACATTAAATGACTATTTGTTGGTTCTTAACATCTGTTCCACTCGCATGGCCAATGAATTTATATGCGAACAGGGCGTATTGCCATGTGAGTGTATTTGAGTGAATAGTAAAAGCCGTGCCAAGCATTCCAGTTAACACCTTGTGCGTATTTATCGTTAGAGTACGATCCACGTAAATACTGTCCAAACATATTGCTGCAAAAAAAATTATTACATATAAAACTTAAATTATTTTTTGTATTATATAAATATTAAGCCATTAGATTAGTACGAAACTCTATTGTAGTACTATGACAATCATTCATATTAATAGTTTATGCTCCAAAATATTACTGGAATATATCACAGGAATATATGAATTGGTATGCCATATAACTTTAAAAAAAACTTAATTTCGTGCACATATGCTATAAATAATTTATTTAAATAATTACTGCACCTTTGATGACAGGCTTTATGCCACCAGGGGCCTGTATAGTGATCCGCACAATTTCCATCCCAAGTATCATTATCATTATCTTTTGTTGAAAACTTTGCACCAGCGTGAACAGTAAAAGAGTCTCCTGCATTGCCGAAATATTTACCAACCATACTTAATGAGTATTTCGAACTCTCATCATCAATAGCAAAACTGCTATAAAATGCCGAACGGGTTTCATTTTCAAAATCCTCCAACTGAAACCATAATTCCTGAATTCCATTATTTGTCAATGCATATAACTTCTCCAATCCAATAAAGTATTCGCCTTCCAGATTACCAAAACCGACTTTATAGTCAATCCAATTGCGATTGAAATTTATAGAACCATCTTGACGTCTGTTGACAATTGTCCAACCGGGACCATTATTTGGATCTCTCAGACAGTATACGTAAAATGGCTTAAGTCCTGATTTTGGTATATAAATTTGATAGATGCCACTATTTTTATAATTTCTTAATGCTTCAGCACAATTCGTTGGTAACTGAAATGAATTCAATGAAAAACCATTTGATTTTAAGGTTGCAGTTGAAATAAAATTTACCTGTCCCGGATTATCGTTATGTGAATTGACTCCAAGAACTGCGCAAAATACCAGCAAGGTAATTGTTAAGACACCAAAGTTTTTATTCGACATTTTAACAAAATGACTGAAAATGGATTCGAGTAACGAGTTTTTATATCTGGGTTTTGGGCAAATATTTTAATATTATCTTATCAATGGAGTTGTACTTTAATTAGTGAATTCAACTTAATAGCTGTTATTGGGTTAAAGACTTTTTAATTTGTTAGAAAAATTAATTACATGCACTACTTTATACTAAAAACCTGTCTTTCTTGATATAAATCAGTGGCGTCGCCTATATTAGTCACTGGAAAGAATTCGAAAAGTTAGAAAATCACAGTTTAAATACATTTTTACTGCAGATAAAATTGGGTGTTGCATTTAAATATTATTACAACGAAAAACCTAGACAATTAATCCATTCCATTTCCTATTTTATTATAATTATTATATTATTTAATTCTATCC